ACCGTACCCGTTTGCGACCCTGGGGTACGGGTAGCCGGGTATCGGGTAGGGTACGGGTATCGGGTATGGGTAGCCGGGTATCGGGTAGGGTACGGGTATCCAGTAGGGTACGGGTATCGGGTAGGGGTAGCCGGGTATCCGGTAGGGTACGGGTATCGGGTAGGGGTAGCCGGGTATCCGGTAGGGTACGGGTATCGGGTAGCCGGGTATCCGGTAGGGTACGGGTATCGGGTACGGGTAGCTGGGTATCGGGTAGGGTACGGGTATCGGCTACCTGATTGCGACCTCTGCCCTGCAGGTGTCCCCCATGAAGAACTGCCGCGAGCACTTCGTCCTGGGGGCGCTGGGCGGCCACCTGATGTCCGCCGGCGGGCGCAACGAGCTGCGCCAAGTGTTGCCCACAGTGGAGCGCTACTCCCCCGGGGACGACTCGTGGACCTTCGTGCGCCCCTTCGACCGCTCGCTCTCCTGCCACGCCGGCTGCGTGGCGGACGGGCGCCTCTGGGTGTCGGGTAAGATTGGGCACCGGCGGGCACTGGTCTCGCTGAACGGGGCTTGCCCCGACAGTCTGTCGAACGGTGTACTACTTGTGTTGTGGTTATTGCAAACATGATGCCTTGAATAAAGGTGTCAGTTTTGTACAAGTTTAAAGGGTAAAAACCTACTACTATATTTTGCCACTGGTAAAAGAGATCTCATAGTGGTGTCGCGATGTCGCTTTTCGCGGCCGGTATCGTTCGTAGTGAAGGTTTTTCAGTAGTAGGTTTTTACCCTTTCAACTGGTACAAAAACTGAATGATGCCTTGTATAAAGGTGTCAGTTTTTGTACCAGTTGAAAGGGTAAAAACCTATTACTATATTTTGCCACTGGTAAAGGAGGTGTCTCATAAGGTTTTTCAGGTTGGGTCACGTGAGCGGGAACGGGTCATGACCCTCCGTCACTACTACCCGGGTGGTCCACCCCAGTGTGTTGGAGAGTGAATCCACGACGTTTAAAATATTTGAGTACGAATATTCTGGCAAATCGCTGGATGTAATTACCGGCGAAACATCTTCTTGGTTCTTTCGGTAAAGTCACGTAGAAGGGAAATAATAAAATAATAAAAAGAAAACATAATAAAATACAATTCTCACGACGTTTCGGCCACAACGCAAGCAGCCGTCCTCAGGTGAAGAACAGGTCTGTCGGAAAGACACCTGAGGACGGCTGCTTGCGTTGTGGCCGAAACGTCGTGAGAATTGTATTTTATGATGTTTTATTTTTATTATTTTATTATTTCCCTTCTACGTGATGACTTTACCGAAAGAACCAAGAAGATGAATCCCTGCAGTCACAAAAGCTTTAAATCGAAATTTTACCAACGAAACGTCGTACTACTCGCATTGTAAATGTCGTGGATTTACTCTCCAACACACCGGTGGGCTGAAGCAGTCGCTGATTGGCGCGTTTTGTTAACGCGACAAACCTCGAAGTCTGTTACAGCTACACGGGGGGATCGTTGTGCAGTGAGCGGTGGCGCAGTGGTTAGCGCACTGCGCTACAAACCCGGCCACACGATCTCCATTCACGGCCAACATCAGTGATGAATACCTCATCCTGCCCCACTGGTAGCGTAGAGGCCCGGGCCTGGGCCTCCCCTAGGTCGACTCAGCCTCAAATGAGTACCTGGTGCGGTGTGTAAACATCGCCACTGGGGAGACAAAGGCGGCCGGGCGTGGTGCTGGCCACCCACCCCCTCGTGTGCCGTGCCGGCCTTCATAGGTGCTCGCTAACAGCACTTGCCCCAACAGTCTGTCAAGGCTACACGGGGGATCTGCTTTGTCTCCGTTGTATTCACTGTGTGTGTGTGTGTGGTGCGTTGCTGTGTGTGTGTGTGGTTTGTTGCTGTGTGTGTGTGGTGCGTTGCTGTGTGTGTGGTGCGTTGCTGTGTGTGTGGTGCGTTTCTGTGTGTGTGTGGTGCGTTGCTGTGTGTGTGTGTGGTGCGTTGCTGTGTGTGTGTGGTGTGTTGCTGTGTGTGTGTGGTGCGTTGCTGTGTGTGTGGTGCGTTGCTGTGTGTGTGTGTGTGGTGCGTTGCTGTGTGTGTGTCTGCGTTGCTGTGTGTGTGTGTGGTGCGTTGCTGTGTGTGTGTGTGGTGCGTTGCTGTGTGTGTGTGTGGTGCGTTGCTGTGTGTGTGGTGCGTTGCTGTGTGTGTGTGTCACCGTTCCCATACCACAGGTGGCGTCACGAACACTGCCCAGTACCAGAACTCGCTGCTGGTTTACGACCCCGCGCTGGTGAGCACGTTCCCTTTGCTGGCTGACAACCGCAGCCTGAACCCTACCGTTGTGGGCGCCACGGTGGCGAGGAGATGTTAACTACCTCGCCTGGTATACAGGAGGTCGTGGGTTCGATCCCGACCCTGACGCCTGCTGCTGTATATTTGGAGTTTGCGTGTCTCTCTCATCATCATCACGGTGGCTAGGAGATGTTAACTACCTCGCCTGGTATACAGGAGGTCGTGGGTTCGATCCCGACCCTGACGCCTGCTGCTGTATATTTGGAGTTTGCGTGTCTCTCATCATCATCATCACGGTGGCTAGGAGATGTTAACTACCTCGCCTGGTATACAGGAGGTCGTGGGTTCGATCCCGACCCTGACGCCTGCTGCTGTATATTTGGAGTTTGCGTGTCTGTCTCTCATCATCATCACGATGGCTAGGAGATGTTAACTACCTCGCCTGGTGTGCAGGAGGTCGTGGGTTCCATTCCGACCCTGATGCCTGTTGCTGTATATTTGGAGTTTGCGTGTCTCTCTTTCATCATCGTCACGATGGCTAGGAGATGTTAACTACCTCGCCTGGTGTACATGAGGTCGTGGGTTCGATCCCGACCCTGACGCCTGCTGCTGTATATTTGGAGTTTGCGTGTCTCTCTCATCATCATCACGGTGGCTAGGAGATGTTAACTACCTCGCCTGGTATACAGGAGGTCGTGGGTTCGATCCCGACCCTGACGCCTGCTGCTGTACATTTGGAGTTTGCGTGTCTCTCCCCATTGTCGCGTGGATTTTTCTCCGGGTCCTCCGATTTTTACCTCCACATTTAGAATCAACGTCACGACCTTTAGAGTGTTTGGCTGCCGATGACAAGCCGCTTAGTTGAGCTATCATTTGTGGTAACCAGTTTTGCTTCTGAAAAAGATCTTTATACCTCAGTGGAGCCTGAGCTGGTAAAGTAAAAAAAAACATTTGTAATTTTTTTGTTTAGTTCTGTACGTACGCCAACACCAACCCATAGGCGTTCCCTCTCGCCCGCTATTGTTTTATAATCAACAGCACCTAGCACGGACCCCAACACCCAAACACTCCAACAACATAACCATACCTCTCATACTAATCAAGTAGTTACATTCCGTGAGGCATGGGGAGTGAACGGTGGGAAGCCATGGGCTGGCCCCTACTGCAGAGGTCGCAAACGGGTTTTGATTCCTTACCCGTACCCGGCCGCACCAGGGTCGCAAACGGGTACCGTACCCTACCCGATACCCGGCTACCCGTACCCGGCCGGGTATCGGGTAGGGTACCCGATTGCGACCTCTGGGATGAAGCCATGTTGCAGGCGCGGGTGGGTTGATTCTAGGAACTTGAATAATGAGAAGAGACAAGACGTTGGGGAATGAGTGACAAACGGTGACTCACCAGTGACTCACGGCCTACCCGTACCCGTACCCGGCCGCACCAGGGTCGCGAACGGGTACCCGTACCCGGCCGGGTACGGGTAGCCGGGTATCGGGTAGGGTACGGGTATCGGGTACCCGGTTGCGACCTCTGCCCGACTGTAATCATTATTTTATTACAGTCGTACCTCGGTATACGACCGCTTTGGTATACGTCGTGTTTTGACGAGAAAAAATGTCTTGGGATACGACGTCTTGCTTGGGATACGACGCGCTTGCTAGAACTTGTGTGGGTCGGGATGAGTCACCGTGTACCCGCCGCGTAGACCCCGTTCACGACTGAAACAAAGCGCCGCTCCTCAGTCAGCCTGTAGATCTCGTTCAGTGCCCAACCCTTGCTAGAACTCTCTGTGTGAGCCGCGTACGGCGCCGCGTGTCGCAGCGCGTGGATTGTTTTGTTGCGTTTGTGTGTTTGTCGCCGGTGACTTTGTGCTTCGCATCGAAATCTGCCCCAGCGATGTTGCCGCTGGCAGCAATGAAAGTCGTTTAGACGTGAAAAGTCTCTTCCTCCTCCCCCATCTCTCCGCTCCCCTTCCTCCTCTCTCTACTCCTCCGCCCCCATCTCCCGCTCGCCCCTCTCTCCTCCTCATCCTCCCATCTCCTCCCTTCTCCCTCCTCCCCTCCCCTTCCTCCTCTCTCTACTCCTCCGCCCCCATCTCCCGCTCGCCCCTCTCTCCTCCTCATCCTCCCATCTCCTCCCTTCTCCCTCCTCCCCTCCCCTCCTCTCCTCTCCCTCTCTCTTCCTCCTCTTCCGCCCCCATCTCCCCGATCGCTCCTCCTCGTCCTCCCATCTCATCCCTGATCCCCACTCCTCCTCACTCCTCGTCACTCCCCTCCTCTCCTCCCCCTCTAACCCCCCACACCCACACGCAGGACGTGTGGTCCCCGTGCAGCGCGATGCCCCAGCGGCGCGTCTACCACTCGATGGCGGCCGTGTGCCGTCGGCTCTACGTGCTGGGGGGCAACGACCTGGACCACAACAACGACCGCGTCATGGTGCGCCACATCGACCGCTACAGCCTGGACACCGACCAGTGGACGCGCTGCACCGCCGCCCTCAGAAAAGGTTCCGCAGTGTCTCCGGGCGGTGGGGGTGGTGGAGAGGGGTGCAGTGGAGTGGAGTGCAGTGGAGGGGGGTGGGGGTGGAGTGCAGTGGGGTGGAGTGGGGTGCAGTGGGGTGGAGTGGGGTGCAATGGAGTGGGGTGTAATGGAGTGGGGTGCAATGGAGTGGGGTGCAGTGGGGAGGGGGTGCAGTGGGGTGGAGTGGGGTGCAATGGAGTGCAGTGGGGTGCAATGGAGTGGGGTGCAGTGGGGTGGAGTGGGGTGCAATGGAGTGCAGTGGGGTGCAGTGGAGTGGGGTGCAATGGAGTGCAGTGGGGTGCAGTGGAGTGGGGTGCAGTGGAGTGCAGTGGGGTGCAGTGGAGTGGGGTGCAATGGAGTGCAGTGGGGTGCAGTGGAGTGGGGTGCAGTGGAGTGCAGTGGGGTGCAGTGGAGTGGGGTGCAGTGGAGTGCAGTCGAGTCGTGTCGTGTGCAGTGGACTGGGGTGGGGTACAAAAGAGAGACAAAGGCGGCCGGGCGTGGTGCTGGCCACCCACCCCCCTCGTGCGCCGTTCCGGCCTTCATAGGTGCTGCTCGCTAACAGCACTTGCCCCTACAGTCTGTTGAGGCTCCACGGGGGATCTTTGTCTTTGTGAAGCTGGAATTGAACCTGAAACTCTGCTGCAGGTCAGAATGAAGCCGGAGTCGCAGTGCACGCTGGGAAAATCTACCTGGTGGGCGGCTACTCCATCGTCATCAACGAGCCCCTCGCATCGGTGCAGGTGAGGCAGAGGTGGCGGCGTCAGAGACAGGGAGACAGAGACAGAGTTGGAGACAGGTGGTTTGAGTCGGTGTTGACGGTGCGGTGTGTGCGTGTCTGTGTGCGCGTGCGTGTCTGTGTGTGCGTCTGTGTGTGCCTGCGTGTCTGTGCCTGCGTGTCTGTGTGTCTGCGTGTGTATCTGGGCACGCGTGTCTGTGTGTCTCTGTGTCTGTGTGTCTCTATGTCTGTGCGTCTCTGTCTCTGTTTCTGTGTGCGCTTGTCTCTGTGTCTATGTGTCTGTATGTCTGTATGTCTCTGTATCTGTGTGTCTCTGTGTGCGCGTGTCTGTTTGTGCATCTCTGTGTGTGTGTGTCTCTGTGTCTGTGTGCCTCTGTGTCTGCGTGTCTGTGTGTGCGTGCGTGTCTGTTTGTGCATCTCTGTGTGTGTGCGCGTGTCTGTTTGTGCATGTCTGTGTGTGCGTCTCGCTCACAGATCCTGGACGTGTTTGCTGGACGGGGGGATCAGGGTGACCAGGGCGGCGAGCGGCTGCTCACTGGGCCCGCTCTGCCCTTCGCCTCCAACGGCGTCGCCGCATACTTCCTGCCCCGACCCAGCACCTGCAAACCCCACAGCTTGTGGTAGTAGAGACACGGGGGAGACACGGGGGAGACACGGGGGGACAGGGGAGACACGAGGGAGACACGGGGGAGACACGGGGGAGACACGGGGGAGACACGGGGGAGACACGGGGGGACAGGGGAGACACGAGGGAGACACGGGGGAGACACGGGGGAGACACGGGGGGACAGGGGAGACACGGGGGAGACACGGGGGAGACACGGGGGAGACACGGGGGAGACACGGGGGGACAGGGGAGACACGAGGGAGACACGGGGGAGACACGGGGGAGACACGGGGGAGACACGGGGGGACAGGGGAGACACGGGGGAGACACGGGGGGACAAGGGAGACACGAGGGAGACACGGGGGAGACACGGGGGAGACACGGGGGGACAGGGGAGACACGAGGTAGACACGGGGGGACAGAGGAGACACGAGGGAGACACGGGGGAGACACGGGGGAGACACGGGGGAGACACGGGGGAGACACGGGGGAGACACGAGGGAGACACGGGGGGACAGAGGAGACACGAGGGAGACACGGGGGAGACACGGGGGAGACACGGGGGAGACACGGGGGGACAGGGGAGACACGAGGGAGACACGGGGGACAGAGGAGACACGAGGGAGACACGGGGGAGACACGGGGGAGACACGGGGGAGACACGGGGGGACAGGGGAGACACGAGGGAGACACGGGGGGACAGAGGAGACACGAGGGAGACACGGGGGAGACACGGGGGAGACACGGGGGAGACACGGGGGGACAGGGGAGACACGAGGGAGACACGGGGGGACAGAGGAGACACGAGGGAGACACGGGGGAGACACGGGGGAGACACGGGGGAGACACGGGGGAGACACGGGGGGACAGGGGAGACACGAGGGAGACACGGGGGGACAGAGGAGACACGAGGGAGACACGGGGGAGACACGGGGGAGACACGGGGGAGACACGGGGGGACAGGGGAGACACGAGGGAGACACGGGGGGACAGAGGAGACACGAGGGAGACACGGGGGAGACACGGGGGAGACACGGGGGAGACACGGGGGGACAGGGGAGACACGAGGGAGACACGGGGGGACAGAGGAGACACGAGGGAGACACGGGGAGACACGGGGGAGACACGGGGGAGACACGGGGGGACAGGGGAGACACGGGGGAGACACGGGGGAGACACGGGGGAGACACGGGGGAGACACGGGGGAGACACGGGGGGACAGGGGAGACACGAGGGAGACACGGGGGAGACACGGGGGAGACACGGGGGAGACACGGGGGGACAGGGGAGACACGGGGGAGACACGGGGGGACAGGGGAGACACGAGGGAGACACGGGGGAGACACGGGGGAGACACGGGGGAGACACGGGGGAGACACGGGGGGACAGGGGAGACACGAGGGAGACACGGGGGGACAGAGGAGACACGAGGGAGACACGGGGGAGACACGGGGGAGACACGGGGGAGACACGGGGGAGACACGAGGGAGACACGGGGGGACAGAGGAGACACGAGGGAGACACGGGGGAGACACGGGGGAGACACGGGGGAGACACGGGGGGACAGGGGAGACACCAGGGAGACACGGGGGGACAGAGGAGACACGAGGGAGACACGGGGGAGACACGGGGGAGACACGGGGGAGACACGGGGGGACAGGGGAGACACGAGGGAGACACGGGGGGACAGAGGAGACACGAGGGAGACACGGGGGAGACACGGGGGAGACACGGGGGAGACACGGGGGGACAGGGGAGACACGAGGGAGACACGGGGGGACAGAGGAGACACGAGGGAGACACGGGGGAGACACGGGGGAGACACGGGGGGACAGGGGAGACACGAGGGAGACACGGGGGGACAGAGGAGACACGAGGGAGACACGGGGGAGACACGGGGGAGACACGGGGGGACAGGGGAGACACGAGGGAGACACGGGGGGACAGAGGAGACACGAGGGAGACACGGGGGAGACACGGGGGAGACACGGGGGAGACACGGGGGGACAGGGGAGACACGAGGGAGACACGGGGGAGACAGGGGAGACACGAGGGAGACACGGGGGAGACACGGGGGAGACACGAGGGAGACACGAGGGAGACACGGGGGAGACACGGGGGAGACACGATGGAGACACGGGGGAGACACGAGGGAGACACGGGGGAGACACGGGGGAGACACGGGGGAGACACGGGGGGACAGAGGAGACAGCGGAGACACAGCGGAGACACGGGTGGGGGGGGGGGGGGACATGGGAACCAGTAGAGGGGGGCGTTGAGCGGTGCGCATAGATTCCGGTGTTGGTTATAGACACACACACAGACACGCACACACGCAACAACAACAACAACCGCCATTCGCCACTAAGTGGCGGTGACGTGCCCACGACGCTTGTGCCAGGCCATGTGCACCTTGAGGCCACGTGAAGCTGGCAGGAGGTCACGGGGCAGACCCAGCAGGTGCCACGGGTCGACTGACCGAGATGACTGGATGATGCACCACCTGTGCCCCCTACTGTACCAACTTGCTGTGCTTTAGCCACCCGGCGCACACACAGACACACACACACAAGCAATCTCCATCTCTCATGTACACGGGCGCGTGCAGACCCACAGAGACGCACGGAGACACACAAAGATCCCCTCTTATAGCCTTAGCAGGCTAGTTGGAGCAAGTGCTGTTAGCGAGCAGCGACGATGAGATGACACACACACACACACACGCATCACGCATGTAAGAATGGGGAACAAATAATAAATCTATATGAAAGTAATTTTTTATTAAGTTTACATTGAGTACAAACGGCGTCGGTCCATTTCGTCATTCGTTCAAAACTTTACGCGTCCGATTGAAAAAAATAAATAAAGACATTAACCTGGGTCAAGTTCTTCGCGTTAGAAAGCGGAAATGCATAGCGGCCAAACCCGTACTGTTCACCCCGTGTTCTTGCACGGGGAGATTGCGTTCTTCAGGTCCACACGGCGCACAGCCGGTTCAATACGGGCGACAAAGAATTAATAATGTCTTTGTGTTTGTGTTTCTCCCTTGCGATGGGACTTTGTAGGACGAACGTCGAGGTTTATAAAGGGCACGGGGTGACCGATACGGTCTGACTTGGTCCGCGGTAAGGTAGGGAGGGCACTGATCGGGGGTTGGCAGGTATGGAGACCCACAGAGACCCCCACAGAGACCCCCACAGAGACCCCCAACAGAGATCCCCAACAGAGACCCCCAGAGACCCCAACAGAGACCCCCACAGAGACCCCCCACAGAGACCCCAACTCACAGAGACCCCCACAGAGTCCCCCAGAGACCCCCACAGAGACCCCCAACAGAGACTCCAACAGAGACCCAAACAGAGACCCCCACAGAGACCCCCAACAGAGACCCCCAACAGAGACCCCCACAGAGACCCCCACAGAGACCCCACAGAGACCCCACAGAGACCCCCACAGAGACCCCACAGAGACCCCCACAGAGACCCCCACAGAGACCCCACAGAGACCCACAGAGACCCCCAAAGAGACCCCACAGAGACCCCCACGGAGACCCCCAACAGAGACCCCAATAGAGACCCCCACAGAGACCTCCAACAGAGACCCCCACAGAGACCCCCACAGAGACCCCCACAGAGACCCCCACAGAGACCCCCACAGAGACCCCCACAGAGACCCCCACAGAGACCCCAACAGAGACCCCCACAGAGACCCCCACAGAGACCCCCACAGAGACCCCCACAGAGACCCCCACAGAGACCCCACAGAGACCCCCACAGAGACCCCCACAGAGACCCCCACAGAGACCCCACAGAGACCCCCACAGAGACCCCCACAGAGACCCCCACAGAGACCCCCACAGAGACCCCACAGAGACCCCACAGAGACCCCCACAGAGACCCCACAGAGACCCCACAGAGACCCCACAGAGACCCCCACAGAGACCCCCACAGAGACCCCACAGAGACCCCCACAGAGACCCCACAGAGACCCCCACAGAGACCCCACAGAGACCCCCACAGAGACCCCACAGAGACCCCACAGAGACCCCACAGAGACCCCCACAGAGACCCCACAGAGACCCCACAGAGACCCCCACAGAGACCCCCACAGAGACCCCCACAGAGACCCCCACAGAGACCCCCACAGAGACCCCCACAGAGACCCCCACAGAGACCCCACAGAGACCCCCACAGAGACCCCCACAGAGACCCCACAGAGACCCCCACAGAGACCCCACAGAGACCCCCACAGAGACCCCCCAGAGACCCCAACAGAGACCCCACCAGAGACCCCCACAGAGACCCCCACAGAGACCCCCACAGAGACCCCCACAGAGACCCCCACAGAGACCCCACAGAGACCCCACAGAGACCCCCACAGAGACCCCACAGAGACCCCCACAGAGACCCCCACAGAGACCCCAATAGAGACCCCCACAGAGACCCCCACAGAGACCCCCACGGAGACCCCCCACAGAGACCCCCACAGAGATCCCCACAGAGACCCCCACAGAGACCCCCACAGAGACCCCACAGAGACCCCACAGAGACCCCCACAGAGACCCCCACAGAGACCCCCACAGAGACCCCACAGAGACCCCACAGAGACCCCCACAGAGACCCCCACAGAGACCCCCACAGAGACACACAGAGACCCCCACAGAGACCCAAATAGAGACCCCAACAGAGACCCCCACAGAGACCCCCCACAGAGACCCCCACAGAGACCCCCACAGAGACCCCACAGAGACCCCCACAGAGACCCCCACAGAGACCCCCACAGAGACCCCCCACAGAGACCCCCACAGAGACCCCAACAGAGACCCCAACAGAGACCCCCACAGAGACCCCCACAGAGACACCCACAGAGACCCCCACAGAGACCCCACAGAGACCCCCACAGAGACCCCCACAGAGACCCCCACAGAGACCCCAACAGAGACCCCCACAGAGACCCCCACAGAGACCCCCACAGAGACCCCCACAGAGACAGAGACAAACAGAGACCCCACAGAGACCCCCACAGAGACCCCCACAGAGACCCCCACAGAGCCCCCCACAGAGTCCCCCAGAGACCCCCACAGAGACCCCCAACAGAGACTCCAACAGAGACCCAAACAGAGACCCCCACAGAGACCCCCACAGAGACTCACACAGAGACCCCCACAGAGACCCCCACAGAGACCCCCACAGAGACCCCCAACAGAGACCCCCACAGAGACTCACACAGAGACCCCCACAGAGACACCCACAGAGACCCCCAACAGAGACCCCCACAGAGACCCCCACAGAGACCCCCACAGAGACCCCCACCAGAGACCCCCACAGAGACCCCCACAGAGACCCCCACAGAGACCCCCAGAGACCCACAGAGACACACAGAGACCCCCACAGAGACCCACACAGAGACCCCAATAGAGACCCCCAGAGACACACAGAGACACACAGAGACCCACAGAGACCCCCACAGAGACCCCCACAGAGACCCACACAGAGACCCCCACAGAGACCCCCACAGAGACCCCCAACAGAGACCCCCACAGAGACCCCCACAGAGACCCCCACAGAGACCCACAGAGACCCCCACAGAGACCCCCACAGAGACCCCCACAGAGACCCACACAGAGACCCCAATAGAGACCCCCACAGAGACCCCCACAGAGACCCCCAACAGAGACCCCCACAGAGACCCCCACAGAGACCCCCACAGAGACCCACAGAGACCCCCAACAGAGACCCCCACAGAGACCCCCACAGAGACCCACAGAGACCCCCACAGAGACCCCCAACAGAGACCCCCACAGAGACCCCCAACAGAGACCCACAGAGACCCCCACAGAGACCCCCACAGAGACCCCCAACAGAGACCCCCACAGATACCCCCACAGAGACCCCCACAGAGACCCCCACAGAGACCCCCACAGAGACCCCCAACAGAGACCCCCACAGATACCCCCACAGAGACCCCCACAGAGACCCCCCACAGAGACCCCCAACAGAGACCCCCAACAGAGACCCACCACAGAGACCCCCAACAGAGACCCCCACAGAGACCCCCACAGAGACCCCCACAGAAATCCATAGCTGTCAACCCATACGGTTGACCCCGTACTTTTGCACGGGGAAATTGCGTTCTTCAGGTGCCATAAGGCGTACAGCCGTTTCAAAACGGGCTAAACACTTGCTACCGTCTCGTTTGCTTCCTCCCTTGCGATGGCACGTGTGGGGTGACCAAGGCGGTCTCAATGGGTCTGCGGTCAGGTCGGGCACCGACAGCTACGGGAACCACCAACTCGTTTTCACGCAACGAGTCGCCGCCGTTTGCATCGCGAGTTTGACGGTGGCGGGGGTCACAGCAGAGGT